GACAACAATACCTAAGATGAGATGAGAATAATGCATAGTAAATACTCCTAAGTGTAACTTTATCGACATAATGACGAATAATTGAAAGCATACCATTAGCTCAAGATTAGTTCATCAATATAAAAGTTCCATGAAAGATTACAATCAATTAATACACCAAGATACTTATTAACTCTTGAAGGATATAGCTGTATACTGATCTGGTTAAGAAGCGTTATGCTGTTTTCATTTTAAATAGAAACTGGCAACTTTAGCTACATGCTAAGTCATTTACGTTACACTACAACTCATACAATAGGTAATTAAAAAATCTGAATACAGGTAGAATTTAGGTTATTGTTTTATTACATTGGAAACAAAAAGCAAGCTGTAAAAACAACACAATAAATCTAAAACTTGCTTCAGAGATCTAAAATTATTTTAAGAATTGCCAAAAAAAAAGGCTTAGACATTTGGGTCTTGGCAAGCTCTATAATTAGGCATATTTAAACAGTCTTTTGAAATAGTTTATACGAGACACATTAGGCAGTAGTTAATTGTTATAAAAAACATTTTCACAGAAATTGGCAAAAAAAAAAAATTTTAATAAAACAACAGAAACCAACATACACTAAAGTGTTTAATGCTTAATAGAAAGGCCAGACCTGTAAAACAGGTCAAGTTAGGTCTAATTCACACCTCCCACTTACTTTTTACTTGTTTTCAATATGTTACAAAAAATAGTAAAAGTAATCTTAGCTTCATAAGTGATCTAATTTGACATTTTCTTTTATGTTGTTCGAGCATTTTATGCATATAGCATAGTTGATTTAAGTCTTTTGGCCTATAACATCAAAATCTTTGTTTCCATTTGGGTGTGTTTCTTTTAACTATAAGCTTTTAAACATGATTCTGTTCTATTATTTGTCTTTATTTTATTTCATAATATGGCAGAAATTTAAAAATATATTGACCTACCTTAGACTTGTTAACGTATGCAAGCCATATATTTATTTTGGCATTCACCAGAGCCATATTTAACTAATGCAAAAAAAATTTAGCAAAAAGTATCCAGAAAATATTTTGCCTTGACTTCATCTAAATTTTGCGTTTAAATTATTAGCTTTAATGAAAAGAATTTATTAGCTTTTATCTAGGAAGTTTGGACCAGTTAAACGGGTCATGATAGGTCTGAATCATACCTTCCACTTATTTTTTACTCATTTTCAAAAGGTTACATAAAATGGTAGAAAGTAATGATATTAGCTTCTTTAGAGACCTAGTTTAACATTTTGTTTTGAGCTACCCAAGAACTTTATGTATATACCATAATTAAGCAAATATATATAAAAGGTAACTCAAATCTTTTGATTTCCAAAATAACAACAATGCAACAAAATACTGAAATATCTATAAACCTAATAAACTAAAAAAAATAGCTATGGAGTAATTCCATGTTAATCCATCCAGAAAATTTCAAAAATGTCACCATGTCTCAGATTTTGCTGATTTTTATACAGTTATGAGTAATTGGTAAAATAAGAAATCCTTGAAAATTTTAACTTCTGGTTCCAAGAAAATCCTGAAATATGATCATTTTACTTTTAACAAATCTTGGCCAGGCCCCTCTTGTCACCTCAGATGGTGACTTGTTTAAAGGTTCCAAGTCGCATAGCTTTAAAAATATTTAATCTTTTTACTTAAAATTTTGTACCTGGCTATTTTCAGTGGTAAAGAATCTGATAAAATAATCAGAAATGTAAAAAATTTCTATTAAGTACCTATAATTATCAATTTAAATATATTTAGGCAATTTTTAATATACCTAATTTTGATGTTCATAGCCAATTTGCAGTTAGCAGATTCTAATTAGCCAATTGCATTGGTTATAACTATTGTAACTTTATTAAAGCATTAAACAGTAACTATGCGCAGTAAATATTAAATTACTGTATTAATATTAAGATATTTGTAAAAATGCATTGCCAAATTAACCATAATCAAGCCTGTAGACAAAAAATTTTTATAGAATTTTATTAAACTTTATATAACATATTTATGATAAAAAATTTTAGCTTTGAAATTACTTTTTAACAGAAGTTTTTTCACTATCATTAATTTTTTAGATTGATCATAGAATGAACATTGATTAGAAATGATTTACTAGTTTATGAGTATTAAACGAAGATTGTGTTAAAACCAAAATATTAAAAAAAAATGTTGATAGCTTTTTTTTTTGACTATTAAAAAATTTATCTAATAAACAGTTGCCTGCTTACTTAAAAAAAAGCCTAATTGTCAGAAAGAAAAAATATTAGGATAATGACTGTGTTATGAATATATTAGTTATGAATGATATAAGAAATAAATAGGAAGTTTTTTAAAATAAGGAAATGTCTTTTTTTTTTTTTTTAAATATATTTAAATTTGATTTTTAATATTTTTTATAATAATATTGTTTAATTTCTATTACAATTAAACAATTAATTTTCAATTAATTGGCTAATTGTAATACAATTCAATTAATTAAAAGCTACTTGTAACAGCCTGATATATATATATATATATATATATATATATATATATATATATATATATATATATATATATATATACATGGACTATTTTAGGGAAATAATTTGGGCATCAGTTATCCTGCACCAGCTAAATTTAGGAGAAATATTGTCAAATTTAAGAACTTTTTGAGTTTAAAAAAAAAAAAATTTTAATTTCGAATACAATCAGCGCTGTCACAATCAGTCTTCTCCATTTGAAATTTAATATCAGCACACGAAAAAGCGCTGGCAAGATGGTCTATTTTAATTAGCCTGCATGATTTAAAAATTCATCTTTTCTGCTATTTAAATTAAAATAAAAATAGCAAAAAGAATGCTTTGAGTACACACTAGAAAAAATAATTAAAAAAAAAAAGTCAAATAAACATTACTTCACTTTAAGAAAAATAAGAATTAAAAAAAAGCATGCTATAGAAAAAAGCAATTGTAATGTTTAAAGCATTTTTCTTTTAAAGTAGTTGCAAATGCAATAATTGCTTTTGGATGCTTTTGCTAATGCATGCAAAAACCATGCTAAAACAAAATTACTTTCTTTGATTGTTACTATTAAGAAAAATAACAAAGCGTACTTTGTAATTTTTCTTAATAGTAACGCTATTGAAATAATCATATTTTAGCATGGTTTCTTTTTAAGTCTTTAAAATTTGTTTAAAATTTAGTAACTAAAATTAGTAACTAAAACAATTTTGTTTTTTATTATAAATATGTGCTTTTTATAATAAATAAAAAACTATCAATTGCATAATTATTTGGAAAAAAAATTTACTAAATGTATGTGTTTAAAAAAATCTATGAATGAGCAGACAAAAGTTTGCTCATTCATAGATTTGTTGCGCCATGTCAATATTACAAGAATATATATATACTAAAAGTATCATTAACTGCAGCAGGAAAAAATTCTTTAGATGAACGTTGTTTTTACTGCTTACAAAAAAACTGCTTGCATTTTTTATATCAGTTACAATGATAATTATACTTTTAAGAAACAAAATTATACTTTTGCAAGAACCAAAAATTGCTCAATTAAACCATTTTGGAGAGTGTGGGCAAGAACTAAAGCTCTCGCTTCCCCCCGAGGCAGGTATATTTATATATATATATATATAAAACAAATGTATAGGATTTCAAATCATCAAAGTAACTAAATGATAAGTAAAATCTATTTACTTTAATCAAATTTTATAGTAGATAAAAAAGGAAAATAATGAAAAATTAAGATGAGTCAAATTATAACTTTTTTAAAGGTTATTAAAAGGGATCCCAAATCTTTGAGACATGTTGTGTTCATAGTAAAGGAATGATATAAAAAAATGTTTGGGATAATTTTTTTGATTAAAACAGAGGAATAAATGCATAACAAGAAAACTAACTTTTTTATTTTAGTCAAAACTTGCTTCCTCTGTTTTGTTGTAGGCAAAAAAGTTAGCATAATATATGTTACAGTCTACAGGCTTAAAAATTTACTCAATTGCGTTTTATTCATAAGAGTTTCAGGACATGATGCCATTGATTTTTTTGTTTGTTTACATAATTGACCTTTTACACAAACAAAAAAAATCAGCGAAGTCATGTACTAAACTCTTAAGAATAAAACGTGCTTAAATAAATTATTTAAGCACGTTTAAAAAAAACTAACTTTTTTCTAAAATAAAAAAGTTAGTTTTTTTTGTATGCATTTATTCTTTTGCTTTAATAAAAAATTGAGCCAAAACATTTTTTTATCATTCTCTTCAATACGAACACAACATGTATCAGTGTTTTGGAATTCTATTAAGGATTTTTAAGGAGGCTTTATCTCTTTAAGGAAATTTAATTGTAGTTTTATTCTAATATTGTTTCCAATCATTGTAACTAAAGCTATGATGGTATAACACAAAATCTGGATATATGATAACAATCTATATATAGAATTAATTAAAAAGAGTAATGTTGTAATTAAAGATTTTTAAGTAAGATTTATGCATTCATGTTACTCCTCAAGGTCATTTTGTTGGCAATCATGAGTTGATGTGTATTTGATTCTTTCAACAAACTTTGAAAAGGATTTTTATTTCAATGACTGTCACAGAATAAGAAATAATAATAAAAAATAAATAGTACAATTTTTAAAAAAACTTAGGAAAGAGATAAATATATAATTGTAAAATTGTCTACCAAAAATTGGTAATACCCACTAAAGCATGGCGGTAACTTTGACTTGATTTATCTAAAAGTACTTTAAACAGATATGTAAATGTTAAAAAGTGGAGTTTTAGATAAATCCATTCCGTAAGCTTAAACTTAACTGTAATTTGAAATTTAAATATAGCATATTTTATGACAAAAAATTTGTTTTGATCTTGGCCCAAACATTATATCAATAAAGATATAATTACCTTTTATTAATTGCTGCATTTCATAAACTAGCAGTTTGAACACAAAAAATAGAATCACCAAAAAACTTACATACAGAGTCATTATTCTTGATAAAGTCTCCTGAAGTTTTTTCTTTTTATCAGCAATTACTTTTTCATTAACTGCATCAGACATAAGTTCAATTTCTAAAATAAATTTTGATAAATTTCAAAAAAAAAATAGAAAAAAAAGATATTAAGATACTGCAACACAAGAAAATAAAAAAAAGATACATAAGACTACCTAACAAATCTAATCTAAGCATTTCATCAATGATTTGAGTGGGATCTTTGAGTTTTAGTACAGTTTCTCTGACCAATTTTCGTTGCTTTTTATTTTTTTTAAGTTCACGTTTTCGTGCTTCTTTACGAGCTTGATCAGTAGGATTCATAAACTTTCCACTTTTAGTAGTGTTAGTTGATCGACGCCCCATTTTAAGAATATTATGAAATATGTACACTTACTATAAAGATTTATTATAATTTAATACAATATACATACCTTCATACATACATACATTATGTATGTATGTATGTATGTATGTATGTATGTATGTATGTATGTATGTATGTATGTATGTATGTATGTATGTATGTATGATACATACATACATACATACATACATACATACATACATACATACATACATACATACATACATACATACATACATACATACATACATACATACATACATATTTACAAACATATTTACAAACATATTTACAAACATATATATATATATATATATATATATATATATATATATATATATATATATATATATATATATATATATATATGCCATACTATCATAATCTGTGCACATGATATGCACATACAATTTTAGAACTAGTAGAAGAGAAAGATTACTTAAAAGAAAATAGGTAAAAAGTTAAACTTTAAAAAATAAATAGTCTATTTAATATATATAATAAATTGAAAGTAAGATAAAGTAGCAGTTAAAATATTTGTATAATAATAGCATTAATACTGATCTATACTGAGGACAGCATAATTTGATAAAAACAAACTTTATTTAATACGTAAACAATTTATTTACATTCGTGAGTAAAATGAGTGATCAATTGTATTAAATTGTTTTAGTATAATTCACTCCATGAAAAAGCTTTTTATAAAATATTTATTAATGGCTGTTATCTAAAAGATGTCTATAAAGTAAACAAACTATTTTATAGACAAAAAGCTAAATTTGACCACCACAACAAGTTTAGGTGCGATAGCTGAAAAAAGGAATGCTACAAAACTATTATGTTGATAAAAGTGAAGTCTATCGACTATACCAATATCGGTATTGAGGGCATTATAAAAAAACCGCGTTATGCTTTAGGGGCACCACTAGCCCCCAAAAAGCTTATTATAATCATTTAAACTTTTTAAATGCCCCGCATTTTCTAAAGAGTAATGTCATAAATAAACATTTCTTTTGCGCAAGATGGCTATTAACGGCGGCGATGCACATTAATTAAATTCTTTAAAGAAAAGCGTATAATCCGGTCAAAATAAACATTTCAATTTACAATAATTCGCATAGAGCTGAAAATTGGTACATACCAGAGACATTATTACAAATAAAGTATCAAAAGTCCCCATCAATCCCATATTTTCAAAAAAAGTTATTCAAGGTCAAAGGTATAAAAAAAAAGGTGTTTTTTTTTTTAAATAAAAGGGAACGTTTTATTATAAAAATAGATGAAACAAAAGTATTAGATCATGAAAGTGTTTAATAAAACTGCCTTTATACATTTTCATAAGAATCATTATTCCTGAGATATTGCAAAAATATATTGCGAAAAGATATTGCAAGAATATATTGCAAGAAAATATATTTCGATTTTATATAAAATATAATGCTAGAAAAGTAATTGCGATTCTTGTGAAATTACAAAATTAATAAACAAATAATGTATACATTATATTTTTATATATTATTTATTATTAAATGATATATTATATATTAGTATTTTAATATTATATTCTTCACTTTCTTCTTCTTCGTAGTCATCTTCTTTTTTAAGCTGGTTAAGTGAAAAAGATACATCAATTGTCTCCTCATTGATATCATCAAAATCATCATTTATTAAATTTGATTCAACATTGGAGCAAGACTGGCTTCAGCAATTATTACACACCGATGAACAAAATAACCCGAGTTTTTTACAGCTAAATTTTGCACTACAACCCTTTTTGCAATTGCAGAAGATGGTATTGAGAAGTTTTTCCGGAGCTGGTGGAAGTAAAGTATCAATCGGCTCTCTTGTATTATTTACAAACTTCCAACCCCAGTCTAATGGGTCCAGTTGATTGCCTAGCCATATTTGAATTTGATAATATACTCGATCCAAGTGTTTGCTAGAAGAAGCAGATGTTGGAGGAAGACACGATAACTGCACTCTTTTATTATTCCGGATGTTTTTTTACAAAAGTTAGGTATCTATACTTGTCTAAACAATCAATTTTATTTGAAACTCCATGTAAAGCAAGAAGAAAACAAATCCCGTTTGTAACTATGTCTTGTGGTGAAGAGTCTATCTTTTGAAACACTTCGGCGCAATTAGTTAAATCACGTTTTTCAAATAATTTAAATGCGGTTGTTTTACCCCCTTTCTGAAAAATCCTGATGTAGTGTTGCAGCCAGTAATTGCATCTAAAAATAAGATATGATTTTGACATTTTGGATTAGCAGATAAACTTTTTGATGTATATATTTCTGTTGGTTGATGAGCTTTACCGGGTTTTAAAAAGTAAATAATCTTATCAATTGGAGTCCGTGCAGTCAGTAATACTAATAAGTCAACATCTTCACCGACAACAACAGAAGTATTTGTTGCATTGGATTGTTCTATGGCTGTTTCAATTATAAGGACATCAACGTCATTATCTACTTGCTTCACTATAATATTTGCAGCTGTAAATCTTTTGCATAACATAAAAATGAAGCGAGACTTGTTATGAGTATTGGAAAGGAATTGTTGTTGGTTTGTCATAAATTGATCAAAAATGACATCAGGTGAAGAAGATATTTTTGTGGTTCGACGACGCTGTTCTGCAGCTTTAATATTTTTCTTGTAATCAGTATTACCATCAAATACTTCTATAGACACTCAATGACTAAAATGTTTATGTACGTACTGAATGTATTTATCAAAAGTAACGTTAAAGGTTGCTTCTCAATCCCACACAACGCGGTGTAATAAATACTCTCCATCGATGATGTAACTAGCATTTGTGTTGTCAATTTCAATTTCTACTGATTCAAAGCAATTGTAAATAGCTGATTTCTGTGTTTCACGCATTCCAGTTTCATCAAACATTGATAAAGGAAAGGGGGCTAATTCATACTCAAAAATTTTTTCTATTTCATCTTAAAATGTCTTAGTAATACTTATACGTTGAAATAGTAATATTGGATCTACAGGTAATTTCTCATCATGAACTTTTATGATGCTACTCATGGTTAGAAGAGGAAGAACTTTATCAGCGCGTTTTAATTTGATATTAAATGTTTCACCTATCATTTTAGACATAGAAGCAATTCCAACTTCACGAGCTTTATGACAGTTGATATTATTATTACCAACAATTCACTAGCAATTGAAATAATTTCTTTAATTTTAGGAAAAGGATCATGCGATAAAAACCACTGCTGAAGTTTTTCAATATCTTTATCATCTTTCTTTATTTGTGAATCACTTGCATCTACATGCTGATCTGTTGTATACGTTCTAATATCAGCAAAATCTTTTAATCCTTCACATACAATGTTCATTACATGCATGCCATAAACCCATTTACTTATAACACTTTCTTTTGTACTTCTTCCATGAGAAATACCTCCATATGTCTTCATTGATTTTACCATTGATTGTTCAATTGCCATATCCGTTGAAGTACCACAATTGAGTTAATCAGAACGTCTAACAGTGAAAAATCATTGATAAACCGTTGATAAACACTTTGATTCATTAACTTCTATAATTGTAGCATATCCTGTAGATATAAGTGCGCAGACTTAGCATACTGTTCAAATAACCTTGCCAATCTCCCATGTGTTCAGTTCTGATAAAATCCTTTGCAATCGACACCATATTAAGACATTGTATCCATAGTTTTGATGTAGGTCCTCGTTTTTCAAATTCTTTTAATTTTTCATTGAACTTATAAAGTAATGCATCGAACATTTCATTATCAACGCCACTTTCAATATCACTATATGAAACTTTATTATTTATGACATCCTTAATGGTAATATCAAGGTTTGCTAACATCTCCTCATCAATAGCAAGATCTTTTGAAATTATTATAGCTAAAATGAACTGAAGTAATGTATGGCTTCTAGCAGCACTAGCGTAGGCATGGTCATTGAGCATTTTTTCTAACGACTTAGGTGCATAAATTAACGAAAGTGCCTATAACCAATTGATCCAAAAAATGACATAAGTAAATGAAATTCTCCAAGTCTTATTATGATCTTTAATAATTCAGATCCATCAAGTGCTGCAGATACAATTTCTCGAGCTTTTGCATACAGAGGTTGATCGAAAGTAATAATGCATACTTCAAGACCATAATGTTTCGCATTTTCTAAAGTACAAAATAAAGTCGTGCATTTTGTACTGTAGTAAAGGTGAGTTTCCACTCATCCATTTTTTCATAGGGAAGGAAAAAATAATCACGTGAGCATGCGTAATAATTATTATATTAGTAATAGCATATTAAAAATTATACTATGCATGCCCACGTGATTATTTTTCCCGTTCCTTTCCCGTTCCCGTGAAAAAACGAATGAGTGGAAACTCGCCTTTACTTGCTGGTTGGTGAATAAACGGTAAGAACAAAATATTAGACTTAGAAAAATTCTGAATATTACTTGTTAAACGTTCGATATAACTATTCCAACCGGGTAACGATAAATTCTTGCATTTACTATAGAACCATATTGCTTCAACTTTTTGGATTAAAGATATTGGTGTTTATATTTCATAAGCTAAATTTTGCACATTTATTTTACTATAACCAACTACACCATCATTTTAATAGATTTGAATTAGCACATGTGCTTTTGCTGCAAAATCTTTTGTAGAAGGGATTTCTTTTATTCGTGGTATATGATCCTCTTGTGAAACTGAACCTTTTAGGGTAACAATTTGAATAATAGCTATTATGTGAAGCGAGTTATTACCGCCTAAACTATTTACATTTACATCAACATTGTCCGTTTATTCAACGTATTGAATAAACGTGCCAGTTTGTAGTGATAAGATAAAAGGCGGATGGTGAAGAACTGCTGCTGCCTCATACATTAAAGTGTCATTGTAAGATGTGCATCAACCAAAAGACAAAAAGATTTGTATAAGAAGTTTAGAAGCAAACCGTCCATAAAAAAATACTGAGAGACCTAATTGCAATTTTGATTTAAAAGACCTAGGCCTAACAGCAGACA